GCCGCGGCGGCCGCGCCAGAGGCGTCCGCCCAGTGCCCTGTGCCGGGGCTGTTGATCGGCTCTCAAATCTCAAAGGGATCTTATGGCAGGTGGGCACATGCGGCAAGCCGCGCGCTGCGCCTCGGCTGCGTTTGAACACAATCGCCGCCACCGCCGGCCCTTCCTCCTGACTTCACTGTATGTACTGCTTGGCGCACTCGACGGGCCTGGGCCTGGCGCCCTTCTTATGGGCTAGCCCTTCATATGCGCCAGCCATTCGATTGTGGCAGCCCCCGTGTCGGCACGGATCTCGTCGTCGCATCCCCACCGGCTGCCGCTCTCGAGCGCGGCGCGACCTCATCGCCAAAAAACCCTTGGCCGCCCATCACGCCGCGGGGGGAGCGCCCGACACAGAGCCCTAACACACCAAACCACGGCACCCGAAACCCTGACCTACCAAACCCTGACACCCCAAAACCATCACAAGCTGGCACATGGCACCCCAAACCCTGCCGAGGCGCTCTGGGTGCCCTCCGCAGCCGTGCATTGCCTTCGCCCCCACACCCACCTCCCCTCAAACCAGCCCAAATCAGGCCGTCAACTCCCCAACTGCCAGCACATGACCCCTCCATGAGTTGCCCCCCGAGCTTGCATCCCGCCTCCTCGTAGCAGCGCCCTGAAAAAGCTGTTTGTAACCACCGCAACTTCATGTAACCCCCGCAACCTCCCTGCGCATCACCGCTCGTCTCCCTGCCCCCAGGGTGTTCACTGGCAAGTACTTTGGCAGCAGGGTGGCTGTGAAGGTCCTGGAGGAGAGCGCGGTTCACAAGAGGTGAGTGTGTGACTGTGTGTGTGTGCGTGTGTGTGTGTGTGTGTATGTGTGTGTGTGTGTGTGCGTGTGTGCGTGTGTGTGTGTGTGTGTTCGTGTGTGTGTGTGTGTGTGTGTGTGTGTGTGCGCGCGCGCGCGCGCGTGCGCGTGCGTGTGCGTGTGTGTCCGCGTGCGGGCACACAATTGAAATGGTGGCTGAGTAATGGTGTATGGATCTCTTTTGTTTGGCTAAGAGGGGGGTTTTGACAGCAGCGATTCTATGGCATGAGACCCTCTCACTTGCTCCACCTGTCCAACCTCCTGCCCGCGCGGGGCGTGCCCGTGGGCCCTGCAGACATTCAGACTCGCACACCCCTCGTCCCGTACAGACCTCGCCCTTTCCACCTCCCCCCTCACCGCGGCCCGGCCTGGGGCGCTCCCTCCATTCTCCTTTGCCCCACCCCCTCACCATCGCCTGCTCTGGGCGCCTCCCTGTTTTCTCCTCCCCACTCCCCCTCACAGCCGTCCGGCTTGGACCCCTCCCTTGTTTTCCAACCACCCCCCATCCCCTCATCGCCATGCATCCCGTCTTTTCTAACTCCCCCAACTGAAAAGGTACCGCAAGAGTGACGTGCCCCTCGAAGCCGTGCTGTCGAGGGCCCTCAACCACCCCCACGTGGTCGCCACGCTGACCTGGCGCATCGTGCGCGACGAGGTTAGTTGGGCAAAGACGGAGGGCCGCGCGATCTGGGTACAGAGGCCGCCCCTCGGATCGGCGCGCGGGGCAGCCAGGGGGCCGCGCGCTGCAATGCTCCAAATGAGCTCACATGCGCCCCCGGCCGGCAGCCGCCTGGTCGCGGCGGGCGCTCGTCTCCCCTGCTGAATCAAGAGGGAGTGCGGAGCCGATCTCCGCCCTTTCGTGCGTCGCCTGCTCCCTTGCTGATCGCTTTCCTCACACCAGGTACTGCTCGGCTAAGAGCAGCGACAGAGCGGCTCTGCCAACCCCAATCAAAGCAATCACAATCGCCGTGCTTGCCGGCCACACGCAGGCGCGACTGCCGAGGCCGAGCCGGGCCCTTGTTGGAGAGCCCCTGCAGGCGCCCGACGTGCAGCTGCCCGGCAGCTGCAGCAAACTCCAGTCCCTGGCCAGCCCCGTCAGCAACAGCAGCGGCAGCGGCGGCGGCGGCAGCTATGGAAGCAGCAGCTTTGGCAGCAGCAGCGCCGGCNGGCGGCGTCAGCGGCGGCGGCGGCGGCGCCAGTGGCGACAGCAGCGGCGGCAGCAACTCCGACGCTTGCATCGTCACTCACAGCCTCGCGCGCGGCCGCGGCCCCGCCGCCGCCGACGCCGCCGCCGCCGCCGCCGGCCCCAGGGCGCCGGCNAAGCTTGACGATGGAGCCCCTGAGTCGCAGCCGGTCCTCCGGGCCGCCGCCGGCCGCGGCGTCCGCGGCGGCGGCGGTGGCTGCCGCTATGAGGTCAGCCTCTGGGGGGCTGGCGCCCCTGCGGCGCACGCGCAGTTCAGATTCCAGGGACAGCCGCAGGACCAGCACGGATGTCGGCCGCTCGCACGCGCTAGCGAGCGGCTGCGGCGGCAGCGGCGGCGGCGGCAGGGGCAGCGCGGACGACGAGGGCGGGCAGGCGTGGCTCGGTGAGCACAGGCCTGCGGGCCTGGCGGCGTCAGCATGTGAATTGCTGCTGTTGCTTGCAGCTAATTCCTGTGTGTCGGAACGCGCGGCAGCCTGCATGGGTTATTGCATTGTGCCGTCAATGCCGCCTTGCCTGGTCATTGCTGAGGGCTGTTGAGAGGTTGGTTCGGCCAGCTGGCTGCAACGTTACCTCCATACGTGTCCACATACACAACACAAACGCCAACGCCAACCGTTTGTCTCGCGTGCACCCCGCAACCTTGGAAACCATCATCTCATCAGTCCTTGAGTACTGTGACAAGGGCTGCCTGCAGGTGCGCGTGGCTTTGATGATCCAGCAGGGTCCGACGACCCAAAAGGCTGCGCGATCCGCCAATTGATCGCCGCGGCGCGCTCAGGCAGCCAGCACCGCGTGCTCTTGTTCACAGGGGCAGGATGCTGGCTCGGTGCCCACCCTCCAGCCAACATGGTCATTGCTTAGAATTGTGTGCCGGGCCCATGCCTCCCCCCAAATCCCCACAAACGCAGGATGCTATTGACAAGGGCTGGCTGCGCGGCAGCCCTGCCTGCTGCGACGGGGATGCCGACCTGTTGGCCGTGCTGACGACTGCGAGGGAGGTGCGTGGCAGGGGCTAGAGGGCTTCAGGGTGTGACGGATGCACACAGAGGTGCTGTCATGGGGCTGGAGTGTGCACATTGTACACACACGTACAAGACTACGCACACACACATACACACAGACACACACACGCACACACACACACGCACACGCACACATACACTCACACACACACAAACACACACACATGCGCGCACACACACATGCGCGCCCACTCGAGCGCGCAACTCATTGTCTCCCACTCGCAAACGCACACGCGCTCATGCCCCAGACAGAGCAAAATCACCGATTGCAACCTGCGCTCAACCCCAACCCCCCACCCCCAGATCGCTGCCGCCATGTCGTACCTCCACGACCTGGACATCGTCCACGGGGACCTCTCATCGTTCAACGTGCTGCTCACCAGCGCGAGCACAGAGGCCGCGCGCGCGTCCCGCGGCTTCAGCGCCAAGGTGTCTGGTGCGTGACGGCAGGTTGACTAGCAGAGGGGGGGCGGCCGCCTCACGGCCACGTCATGCGCTGATGTGCTTGGCTTGCGCTGAGGGCTGCTGGCTTTCGTCCCGAGGGGACGCGTGATTCTGTACAAATGACATCAGTACTGCAGCGGGACGCCCAGCCGGCCGTCTGTTCACGTGTCTGGCCAGGCACGTGCTGGTTGCTGCGTCATATCCTTGGTGCCGCCACCTGCCGCCGCAGACTTCGGATTGTCGCGCTGCCTGGATCAGAAGGGTCGCGTGGAGAGGGCCACCTGCGGCACCATCACGCATGTGAGTTTTGAATTCATCCAGATCAGAGTAGATCAGATCATCATGCCGCGCATGTGGCATCGCAGAAGCTATCTGCAGCATCTCCGCTTGTCACACTGTCTGCAACCGTCTGGAACGCCTGCTTTGCTCTGTGAACGACTGCTTTGCTCTGTGAACACTGTTGCACATTTTCAAATGTTCAAACCGACAGATGGCGCCGGAGGTGCTGGAGAGGGGCGAGCTTTCAAAGGCTGCAGACGTCTACTCCTTTGGGGTGGTGCTCTGGCAGGTGCGGCACGGCCCGGGCTGCTGCCAACCAGTAGCATGTCGCAGGCCCAGCTGCATCACAAACACAGCACTTTGAACTTCAGCTTTCGTAGCGATGAGAAATCAGGCGCATGCTGAGGCGCCTGGCAGCCCCGCCCGCCTTGCTGCTGCAAAACTGCCGGCCGCTGCGCCGAACGTAGTCTGGCCTTATGCAACGTGGCCCCTGCTCCCCGCCCCCCAACCCCCGCAGATGTGCGCCGGCCGCCGCGCCTGGGCGGGCCTGACCCACGCCGCCATCGTCAAGGCCGTCTGCGCCGAGGGCCGCCGCCTGGAGTTTGGCCCCGAGACGCACGAGGGCGTCGCCCTGCTGGCCCAGGCCTGCATGGCGCGGGACCCCCAGGAGCGCCCCTCCTTCAGGGAGGTGCTGGAAGTCCTGGAGCCACTAGGGGCCGCCCTGGTCAGCAGCGCGGCCCACCTCCACCTGAGCGTTTCCAGCGGCCGCGGCCGCGTCACAAGCGGCGGCGGCGGCGGGGCCGGGGACGCGGCGGCGGCGGGGGCGGGGGCGGTCATGGGTGAGGAGCTCCACCATTGGGGGCTGGCCCCCCTGAAATGAGTGGGCAGGGGCACGAGCATGTGGATGAGCGCAAGGCAAGCGAGCGGCGCCGTCCGCGCGCGGCCGCCGCTGGCTGCCGTTGGCCCGCCGGCTGCGAAGGCAGCTCCGCATCTCCCCAATACGTTGGCTTCCTTCGCCCAGGATTGCGCTTCATCCCGCTGAGGGGCACCCATTCGGTCGATACGCTGGGCCGTCAGCGGGGCGCGGCCGGATCAGGAACACGGGTGCTGCCACGGTTATCAGCACGTTGTGTTGTGCTGATGCGCGCCCGCATCATCGGAGCGCGTTCGAATCGCAATGGATAGAACCAGGGTAGGGGGGTTGACGCGTACTACATCTGTGCTGCCCGCACACCGCGATTCGAGGTCAAACTGGAGCCGCAACACTGCACATGTGGCACAAACAAATACGATCTGGGATGACATGCGGCCGCATGCGGGCCTTTTGTACGAGGAACCTCTGTTTTGGGGGTGTGGCCCTGCCCCAGCGCAACCGGTCAAGGGCACGTTTGCTGCCACGCCCTACGCCGGTCAAAGTTCATGACGGCTTCCTGCGCCGCGAACCCACTCACCGTTTGGTGTCGGATTGCGAGTCAAATGTTGCCAAGTCAGCATGCACATATGTGTGTGCGTGTGTTTTTGTGGGTGCATGTGGTCATGTCTGGCTCCTTATTACTGTCATCATATTGTGCCGATTACTGAAAGCTGCGGCGTTTGAACATGCAGCTGCCGGCAGAAACGAACCTGCCGCCGGCCCCGCTGACCCCTCTACATAAACAAGCCCGCCGCCGCTGTCGGCCGCCGCCATCGCCGCTGTTTGCGAGATAGGCGCAGCAGCCCACAGCCGGCCGCCGGAACTCCGTTTGCCCCACGCACCACCAACCCAGGCGCACAGCCGGCGGCTGCATGCGCGCCCCATGTGGGCCGCCGCCGGCGCCATGAACTGTTTTGCTCCGGCGCCTTCCGCTGCCACAAGGGAGAACCGCTGGCCCCTCGGCTGGAACACAGGCAGTTACGAGTTGACACCTTCCAGTGTTTTGAGCACGCGAGTTGTGGAACCCCTGTGCAGGGGATTTGCACAAATAAGGCACATCGTTGTGCCATCAGCAGGTTGATTCCCAAGACACACAGTCATCGTCCAGCCGCCGTCTGCGGCCTTAAGGTCCGTCCGCGTTCCTGCCCCTGTTTTCCTGCCCCACCCACACCTCTGGAGTCCTGCTGCTGTGTGCGCCCGTGAACGGGACGCCGCCAGGTCCCCCGCGAGTCGGCCCGCATGTGAACGGCGCTGCTACGCTCGGCGCGATTATCAATGATGTTTTTCGGCAATAATGTCCAGCGTCCCCGCTCTTGCCTTTTGAATTGGAAGCTTTGATACGCCCCTGCACTGCCCGCGCTACCCATAAAAGAGGGGCTCAAGGTCCTCCTGTGACGGCACCCCCCCTTCCCCCCAGCGCTCACAAGCTCCCACGCAATAATCACACAAGCACATCCGTCAACACCCGCTCGCGAGCGCCCATACATCTTGAATATTGATCGACGTTGTCCCCGAGTACAATAAAGGTTGCCTGACGTTGGGGACGGCCCCCCTCAGCAGGAGGAGGTGCAGCAGATGATGCACTGCGCTCAACCCATCCCCCCTATCGCCCGCAAAGCCGCGTGAGCCGGCACGCTTTGGACACGTGCATGTGCGTCGCCCCTGATGGGCCCCACCCAGGTTTTTCGTAGGTTTCTTGACACCTGCTTTGTCCTGCCCCCCCCCCCCCATGACTATACAGATCCGTTCACACGTAGGCATATGCATCCCACGCACCTCGATTCCCCTTGATGTCCAACCCCCAAACCCACCACGCGGCTCATGGGCCGCCGCTGGTGCATGGGGAACCTCACGCGCTGCGTGGCAAGGTGGACAGTCGTGCGCCGCTGTTTTCGCTGCCGTGCATGTCCTTGAACAGTCACTGGGTTGCCAAGCTCCTCTTCAAGTGCGCGGCTGTGGGCGACTGGGCCCTGCAAGGGATGCACCCGGGAGTGCAATACCGGTAGGCAGCACGGTGACGAGTCCCCCTGAAGCCACTCATGGCTTTCAGTGAAGGATACGTTTCATAAGTTGCAGTTCTGTGTATGTATGCATGCACATACAAACCACTTTGTAAGTACTGTGGCAGGTTCTTTGCTGTGTATCCCTGGCCTGAGTTGATCGGTCGGTGCAGCCTTGCCGCCAGCGTGCAAGCAGCTGTCTCGGCAGGCCTGCCTACGACTTCAGCAGTGCCACGTTTAAAATTGCCTCAAGCGCACGATATTCGCACGTAGCAGCGAGCTCAGGTGCCGCCCCCGCATGTGTCTGCCGGCAGTGTGCGTACGTGAAGCGCACTGCCGGCTCTATCATGCGGCCTGCCTTGCTTTTGGTACCTGTGTCTGCAGGCGGCAGGCAGGCAGGCAGGCCTGCTGGGCCTGCTGAACATCGAAACACGCATGATGATGATGCATGCTTGGGATACGATTGCTTAGCTACAGTCCCTGCTGGCGGCCGTGGTTATAAGCAAGCGAGGCAGCACCACACCCCCCTGGAATTGCGTAGAATGAGTTGGTGATTAATTGTTATGCGCCGGCCCAGCAGTTCGCAAGGCCGCGGGCCAGCCGGCCCCACTTGGTTGCCACCCCCAGATGTGAGGTTCAGCAGGGGAGGCACCGGCAGGTGTCATGCTTTCTGTCACCCTAACGCTAAGTTGCAGGCCGTCGGCGCGGTTTTGCTGTTGGGCGACGGTGGGGGTCTGCTGACGTCTGGTGCAGCCGCGCCGCGCCGACCCACCAGCGTGCTGCTGCAGGTGGTCCAGTGCAGGGTCAAGGGGCTGAGTTCCGCATGCGTGTGCGCTTCAGGCTCGGCAGCACTCATCTCATTGGGGCTGCTGGACGGCGCGCACCCAGTGACGTGCCACCACTGCAGTGAGTGGGGTGGCGGCGGCCGCTGGAGCCCCAGAAGGCAAAAAAATGCAAAGGCACAACAGCGGCACATGAAACAGTGAAATTTACGCCCTGAGAAGAATGTTCTGTGAGCCTGCCATGCTCCACCTGCGTGTGCGCCATCCATGCAGCAAGTAATGATTGTCTGCAGGGGTGAGCGCGATGAGCAAGTGAAGTTCAGCCCCTTGCCGCAGAATTCCGAAGGGCGGCCCCTGCACGTTTCCTGAGGCACTGATGTTGCTCTGGAGCCGCCCTTTTTGGGAGGCGGAATGTTTTGGCGTGGGTTGTGCGGGATGACAGGGGACACGCTTGCGTGGGAGCGGGCTGTCAACCTACCAGGATGATCACCTGGTGACATGCGTGCGCCCAATGAACCAGGACTCCCAGCAGATGATCTCAAGCATAGGTTGAATTCAAGTATACGTCTATTTCAATGGTTTTTGGCCTCTAAACGCTCGTCGATGCGCCTTGTGCGGGGTCGCGGCGGCCGTCCACGCTCGGCCGCTGGCGCGGTGTCCAGATGGCCCGGGTGACGGGCACCGGGCACCAGCCAACCGCGGTCGATTGCGCGTGGAAGTTGTAAAAATTCTTATCTCTGGGGCACGGGCGCACGTTGTGGATCTTGCCCCTTGGTGACACCCTCGCTGCTGTGGCCGCTCGGAACTCAGGTCACTCTGCCGCTCTGTTCACCTCGCCGTCGCGCTCAGTGATTTGTGATGCTGTTACCCGTGTAAAATTTACGTTCAGGAATATCCCACTCGCTTTGTGCACACTTGTTACTGGGTTACACCCCGGTGAGACGTTGACGGCTTACCACGCACGGCTCCAAGGTGGTTGAGTTACACGTTTAATCATTTTCACACTCTCTCTAGTTGTGCATTCAGAGACTGTACCACACTTGTAGTCAAAACTTGCGTCCGAGAGCGCACCTGAAGCGCGTTTGCCCTTATCTCGGGCAATGGGGTCGTCGTGCGGTGATCGAGTATGGAATAGGATTTTTGTTTGATCCGTAGGCTTTTCGGACCGCCATACCGGCAGAGAGGGGCACAGCGAGACCGAGAGACCCACTCGTCATCGAGCAAACAGTTTACCATATAATCCCCGGCGGCCTGCACGGCCCGCTTTGTCAGTTCCAATGGGGCTATGTCACAGCACGGAACAGCTAGGGGTCCCCGGGCGCAGTTGCGGCGGCGGGGGCGGCAGCAGCGCCGTTGGACCCGAGCTGCCGACACGGCGACAGCGCCGCCGCACTGGCAGGGACCCGGCAGCCGCCGACGGCGCCGCGGCCGCCACCAGGGTGCTCTGCTGTTCGCGGTTCCTAGCGCCGCGCACCGCCTCGAAGGGGCAGAGCGTGGCGGCGTTTGTCGAGCTCCTTGACCTCTCAGAGGCACCCACCACCCCTGAGGTGGACAACATCCTGTCCCTCGCCACCGGGATCTTCGGCGCCCACACGGCCGTGCTCGCCCTCTTCAATGACAAGCGGGTGCGACGGGCGGGTGACGGGCGCTTGGGGACGGCCGTCGCCGCGAGGGCGGCGCCAGCGTTGCCGTGTGCGCGTGCTGGCGGCTGCGGGGCTGGGAGCTGCTGTTTGCCAGCGTGCGTTTGCGTGTCGCTGGGCCCACACACAACCCTCCTGTTCCAGGCGTGCTGAGCTCCCGCCATCACGCTATCAACTTCCACCTGACAGATCTGGAGTAAGACGAGCACCAGCTCTCAGGTTTGGGCCGGGCGTTGGCTGCAGGGGAAGGTACCGCTACCCGGGCAGAAGCTGAGGTGGCGCGCTGGGGTCAACACGCCATTTGACCCATGCGCCTGACACACAATGAAAGCACCCGCATCCTGCGGTTGCTGTTGCTGATGCCGTCCTTGAGCCTGCCTGCCGCCGGAGGGCGTGCGTGGTGCATTGCGTGGCCTGGGGGTCGACAATGCTGCGGGCTCGCTCAGCCGGCGCTGTGACAGCGCCTGGTGTGTTCTCGGACTCAAATGCAGGCGAGCGACGTTTCTGAGTGGCACAGGAACATGTGCGCGTGGCCATGCTGCGGCGCCACTGCCGGGGCGCTCGTCGTCCCCGATACGCACGAGGACCCCAGGTGAGAATGGGAATCGCGAGGGGGTGCCGAAAGCACTGCCCGCCCAATGCTCCAAGGGCATCAAACACAGGTCCATGAATATCCAATCCCGCTTCCTTGCACACCCGCCGGCACGCGCGGCGCTGCAGCTAGGCCTGCGGCCTGCCAGCTATTGCGTGTGGGGCTGCTGACATCGTGGCGACCCTCCCTGTGTTACCGTGGCTCTAACTCACTGGCATGCTTACGCGGGCGTGGCCAGCGCATCAGGCCCGTTTTTCTCTCCGCACAGTCAAGCAAC